CAATGTTCCTCGCTTGTTTGGCCACCGTTCTCTCCACCTGGCCGTTGTGACAGTCCTTCACCTCCAGCATAGACTGGGCTTGTTTAGCCTTGGTCAAATAGTCCCAGAAGTGATCAATGATGACCCCATCTATTCGCATGCTTAAAAAATATGTTCAAGTTGAGATGCCACAAAAAAGGAAGAAGGAAAACAGAAGAACAAGGACTTTAACCACCAAATTATGTTGAATCACCCCCTAGAGGAGGCGATTGTCAAAGTAGTCATTGTGGATGGCCATGGTGGCCTCAAAATGTAGGACCACATTGGCCGCAGGGCTACATCAGCTGAGTGGATAACGAAGTCCGATAACAAAACTGCCTTGTCTTTTCTTATGATGGCACGGGGGCCCACTCCTCAGTTTGGGTGAGATGAGGTGGGGTGTCGCGTTGACGTTTCATCTGGCACTCAGTGATCGAGTCATCCTCATGCCCTTGGTGTTGCCCTTATCGACAGCTGGATGGGTCAAAAGGAACCACTTGTCTGGAAGGCGGAGAAGGTTCTCGGTGTTATTGTTGCCGTTGCCGCTGCTGCTGCTATTGTTGTTGTTGTTGTTGCTACTCCTGTTGTGGTCGCAATTGGAAGGGAGCAACAACCATGGTCCTAGAGGACCAACCAGGTCCAAAGGCAAGGTCCCTATTTGCCTCTACGACGACCTCTAAGTCCTCGATTGTGATTCGGGAAAAATGGAGCATCTTAGATTCAAAAGGGGGAGGGGAGTTGGAAGTAGAGGGAATGGCTTCAGAGTCTCTGTCAGGGTCACCATAAATGTTAGCCTCTTCTTCTTCTCCCAAGGAACGATCTAACCAGATGAAAGGGTTGAAGGGGCTCAGGAAGTTGGAAAAAATAGGTGTAGCTGGGTCGATACCCCAAAAGTATGTGCGCAGCCTAAGCAAAGGGGTTCTTCGGCTCAAGGGTCCAAACCTTCAGAGGTCACCAAAAGCAATAGAATATTATAGAGGCTGGATGACATCCCTCTTATAACCCTCTGCAAGAAAGAAAGAAGACAAATTAGTACCAGAATATCTCTCAAGAAGGGTGGGACACGGTGAAAACAGACACTCTTGATCCCCTTGGTTCCTTGGGGAAGTAAAGGCCATCATATTCAAATCCTTCACCCGTCTCCCATCTACCATTAATCATGATGAGATCCCGGGTGTAGCCTTTGTCTGAGTTAAGCACGTGCGCCACCAAGTACATGGAAGGGTCCCAAGACTTGATGTAGTACTTCTCATTGTTGGCTATCTTTAAATCATAGCAAAAGGGGATTTCATCTACCCTAAGATCCATCCCTAGCTGAGCATTAAGGGTGACTACACTCATTATTATCCTTAATAGACTAATGCAACACTGGAAGGGGAAGAGTCTCAAGCGCATCGGGAGCTTTAAGAGAAGAGGAGCGAGGGGGAACCTAACTCCTCCTTCCATAATGGCCTTGGTGTGGAAAAACATAGGATCATTAGCTTCGATCTCAATTCTGTGGAATATAGGGCTAAAGATGATGGTGAAAATGTCCGTGGGGATGCCATAAGTAGACCTATGACATCTAAATTGAACTCGATCACATGTGTCCTTCTTAAGCTTTTCTACTTTTTTGGGCCAACTAGTGGACCTAGGGGTTGTGGTTCTACGTATCCTAGCTATGGAAGTACTATAGAAGAAGGAGAGGAAGAAGATTTCAAAGGAAAGATACATATAGTCACTGTTAGCTTGTTTTCATCGAAGAACTGCTCGGGAGATCAAGGGCCTTAAGAGAATTGTGTGTTTGAAGAGTCTTTCACTTGCTGAAGTTTTTCCTATTTATGCCATTTTGTAGGTGAGGGTGGAAATCGAAGAGGCAAGACAATTGATTAGAATTCAACAACAAGCGACAAATGTGCAAGTAACCACCCCCAAAAATCAGGCGTGCTAAGGAAGCCTCCATTCTCCGTGTGACTCCTTTCCCATGATGCAGAGAAAATGGAGCCTAGGGGCAGTTGATGGGACATTGATGGCCAACCAATGAGAATCTGACATGTGGGCCATATGTAGTTGTCAAAACACGTGCAATTCATCAAAAATATGATACCGAGCAAGTAGAGTACTCGGGTCCGATAAGTAAACTTGGGATTGAGCATTAAATAAGGTGTGACAAGTCATTAATGGGGATTGCGTTGGTGTGACAGGTCATTAATAATTGACTAATCCTCAAAGAATGTGAAAATAATTGTCATTACGTGGTAATACAGACATCTAGACTGAGGGGAGGGAGTCTTAGGAGCTCCCATGGGGGTCTAGTAGCTACTTATAAATGCTCGGCCGTAGGTTCTGTGCATTTGTTTAGAGCACTTGATGGTCAGGGGATGGAGCCATGAATGCTCGGCTTATTCTTAAGTGCGAATTCAAACACCCAATCACTCAACATTAATGTGGTGTGACGAAATGACACTTATTTTGCTAAATTATGAGCACAAGCTACTAAAGTATAGGATGAGACTCTGAATGGGAGAGACATTATTGCAATCTGAGGTATAAATGCCCCTCTAGAAGCAAAATAAAGGTACATAAGCTTAATTATGCATTTATTTATCTTTTGATATTTGAATTGTATTTTATTTTGTTATATCTATATAATAAAACACCTAGAAGATTGAATTTTTATCTCACACATATTTTTCCTTCTAAAATCATCTCATCACCCAATTTTATCATATGTTTATTCATTTAATATTTGATTAATTTGTAATTTAACATAATTATTATTTCATACATTATCTATACACAATAATGTACACGTGTTGAAAATTTTTTATGAAATTATAAATTTTTAGAAAATTTTGATGTTAATTTTTTAAATAATAATAGATAGAAATTAANTGATCGCTATCTTAATCCATTGTAGGAATTCTCATATGCAAAATTCATATTTTTAATATACAAAAAGGTGTCAAATTGATTGCAGATGAAATTTTACAGTGATGAACATATCTCATCCTCTTGCGAGAAGTACTTGCACCTTAAGTCCTTTAATTTATGATAAATAATTGAATGACAGTCTGAGTCAGTTTCATATTACTTTCGATTCACAACATTAAAAATACAAAGAAAAGGTTTTAATATTTAAGAACTAGTTATTCCTTGTGCTTGAAGACACGGAGTAATAAAAAAAAATGGTTAACATATTTATATTCATACCAAAAATTAAATCACAAACATAAAGGAGAGATAAAAAATTTTAAGCACCAATTGTAGTGGGGGTGAGTGGTGGTAATGACGGTGGGCGATAGTGGTGATGATGGGAGACATGGGTAAGGCGACGATCGTAGTGGTGGTAGCAACTGTGGGTGACAATGGTAATGATGGTGGTGAGTTTTGAGTGACGATGATGGTAGTGACAGTAGTGGGTGGCAACGGTGATGGTGGTGGTGGGTGTGAATGGTGGTGGATGACGGTGATGGTAGTTGGCAGTGGTGGTGGTAGGACGATGACGGTGTTAGTGAGCAGTGATGATGGTAGTGGTGGACGACGATGGGTGCTTCTAGGCGACAGTGTGATGAATGGTGGCAAATGACGGCGGTGGTAAGCGTGGTAGGGATAGACGACAGTGGGTGACTGTAGTGGTTGGCAATAACAAGTGGTGGTAGTAGGTACGATGGGGTAGGTGACAGTGCCTAGTGGCAATGGGTGGTGGTGAGTGCTGACAGTAGACGACGGTGGTAATGAAATGATAATGGTAATAATAATAAATACAATAATAAGATGATGGTGGTGGTGAGTGACGATGGTAGTGGTGGGGTGGGGGTGAAGGTGGGGGCAGTGACGATGGTGGGTGTGGCGATGGTGGGTGTAGGGGTGGTGGGTTGGTGATGGTGGTGGTGGTGGTGGTGGGACAGTGGGAGTAGTAGGAGTGATGGTGGGACAGTAATGATAATGGTATGGTGGTGCGACAGTGGTGGTGGTGGGGCGGTGGAAGTGGTGGTAATAGTGGTGGGGCAATGGAAATGGTGATGGTGGTGGTGGTGGGGTGGTGGGTATGGTAGGGTCACGATAGTGATGGTAGTGGGGTGGTGGTAGTAGTGGTGGGTGGTGGAGTGGTGGGAGTGGTTGTGGTAGAGGTAGTGGTGGGGTGATTTCAAATACAATTTTTTTTTTAAAGTACTTATGAAAAATAATTCGTAAAAGTATTTTTAAAAAGTCACTCTAAACATGTCTTTAGAGGTTTATTTTTCTTATTAAATTTGGGATGCTAATATTAACCGTTAGATTAACTTTAAAATAAAATTTAAAACGATTTCAACCGCGAATAATAAAAATTATTTTATTTATCTTTTGATATTTGAATTGTATTTTATTTTGTTATATCTATATAATAAAACACCTAGAAGATTGAATTTTTATCTCACACATATTTTTCCTTCTAAAATCATCTCATCACCCAATTCTATCATATGTTTATTCATTTAATATTTGATTAATTTGTAGTTTAACATAATTATTATTTCATACATTATCTATACACAATAATGTACACGTGTTGAAAAAATTTTATCGAATTATAAATTTTTAGAAAATTTTGATGTTAATTTTTTAAATAATAATAGATAGAAATTAATTTTAAATGATGTAATCAAATAAATAAAAAATAAAAAAATTATTATTTAATATAATAAAATTAATTTTTTAAACGATCAAATTTTATGTTTTATTATGCTTTAGACACGTGTTATAAATACTGGATATAAATTGGGAATCGAAAAAATCTTGTTGTGGGNCGATCAAATTTTATGTTTTATTATGCTTTAGACACGTGTTATAAATACTGGATATAAATTGGGAATCGAAAAAATCTTGTTCACCCGTTTCTGGTTTTTGTTTTTTTGTTTTCAGAAAGTGACATTCTCTTTGCACGCACGCATTTATTTGTCGTAATACGTCACTCCTTTTCCACTAGCATTCGCGAGATTATCCAGCTTTTCGTCTTCATCGTGAAACCATAGCTTTCTCTCTCTTGAAAACCATGGCGTTGAGGTATGGTGGACGCAAGTTGTCCTTCGACGTACTCACCGCTAGCACCTTCTTTGAAGACGGCGACGACGATGAGACCCCCATCTACAGATCCAATTCAGGGCCTCCAATTCACCAAAATGGCGTCGCATCAAATCCTAACCGCCGAAAACGGAAGAAGAAAAAGAAGCAGCTGATGGAGTGTTCGATATCCGAAAATTCAGTCACCGATGGAGGCATCGAGGGGGTTATGGATGATTCTGTGAATCAGAGGGTTTTCGAGAACGGTAATTGTACGAAAGAATTGGAATTGGAATCGGATTGTAAGGGTTATAATTATAGTGTTTCCAGTGTTGTATGTGAGGAAGTGGTGATGGCGGAAGGGAGTGGTGGTGGAGAGATTGTGTGCACAGTGAGTTCGGTAAATGGACCGGAATTTGGGAATTCGCATGGTTGGGAATTGAGGCAGAGGAGTGTTGCAAATGGAGGAGGAGGAGGAGGAGGAGGAGGGAATGAGGAAGCAGAAGTTTTGGATTCGCGGATTGATAAGAATGCGAAGGAAGAGGGTAGGAGTAGTAGCGGTCAGGAATTGGATTTGGCGATGGGGAAACAACGGGTGGAGCAGAATGGGGATGCTGGGAGGAGATTGGGAAAGGGAGAGTCGTTGGACTGGAAGAAATTTATGGAGGAAGATCCGAATTGTAAGTGAATAATCTCTTCTTGCGTCTCAGTTTTCAAAGTATTGATTTTTCGACATTGTCGGAATCTCCATGATATTATTGGTAAGATTGGTAGTTGTTTGAAAGAAATAACTTGTATAAATGAACAATTTCCTAACAATTTCCCCTTTGGCAATTCTATGATAAAATATAAGAATTAGAAATTCATTATTTATAATTGACTAATTCTATGAAGTCACAACTTGTAATGCTTTAACGCTCGGAAAGAAAAAACTTGTAATACTTCGCTGAATTTGAAATTATATATAAATCCCCATTTAAAGAAGATACTGTAGAAGATAATAATGAAGTTGAAATACATAAACATATTGTTGCTGAGGTTGATATTTGTTTGAAGGAAATGACTTGTAATTTGTAGTGCCTTACTGGATTTGGGATTATATAAATACTCCCTTCAGGAATAGGCATGCCTGCAAAACTTTTTTGTCCTGATACTGGTGAAAGTAGTCATATCTTACATGACATATTTTAAGCTTTCAAATATGTAGCTTAGTGTTGTTAAAAAATCATTTTACAGTTCTTGTAAACAAATGGTTTCCGGGGACACCTTCTATGGCCAGCATGTGTCCTTGGGTTGACTTGTTAGTTTGCCAGTTGAAAATGGTGTTGGTGATTCTACATTATTTATATGTTAGGGCTGAACTCGATGAGGCGAGTTATGTGGTTTTGAGATCAAATTAAGGAAACAGTGAATGCCTTGTAGAACAATTCTTGAGCATGAAAGGGTGGTTGGGAGTTTTGAAATTATTGAAGAACTGTGGAACATGTGAAACAAGGTTAAAAATGAGAGGAGAGAAAATACTTTTTCAAAATTTTTTAGATCTTGTGTAAGATCCATGTTGACAAATGCTTATCATTAATGTTTGTTCATAGTTGGCCTGTTTGGGATTCTAGACACACAGGATGAGTAACCTCTAAAAAGTACGAAAATTGCATTTGGATCAATTTCATATCCACGAATGGTAATGCTGATTGATCTTTTTGTTGGTTGTTGTAGGTGATTTATTTATACTCGAGTAATCCATTTACCATTGACATTCTTATGCATTTCCTAAACTCATCTCCTGTTTTCCTGGTCTCGCAAACACATTATTTTTCCATCACAGGCACCATAGTTGTCACGCTCCAAATTCTGAAGGTTGATACAGTGTAAATATGATAATTAGATTGCACTTTAGCACAAGCCATTGGAAAAGCAAACTTGGATTCGCAAGTTACATACTACATAGTGACTGAAAAACAGGTCATAGTGACACACTGTCTTCCATATATCAACCTCTAAATTGTACCATTGTACACAAGTCTCCTTGAAGTTACCACAGGACCACTTGAGTATATACATCTACATTTCACAGAGTTCTTATAGAAAAGCACTGCAGTTGCTCACCTGAAACAGCCCTTAAAATCCCATGAAATAACTAGATACCACTAAACACACATGATATGATACACATCACTGGTCAAGCAACAAGCTTTGAGATAACTCAGGAACTGGGTGGCTTCCTTCACCGCCATGCCTTTGACATGAAAATGTAACGAATGAGCTCATGCTCAATAAATCAAACTCATGTAACAATTCATATCATGATATCGAGCGAAAAATGAATGACAATGTACCATAAAAGCTAAAATTTTCGATACAAATGCATATCACTGGATTGATCTTTGTCTCTCAAATATCATGATCATTTGACATAATGATTGGTGCAACATAAAGAAGTATCTATAGTCTTTTGACCAAGGTCACGACAGCTACCTCGTTTTAGGTGCTTTAACAGTAGGGATATGAGTGACCCCATGTCCCAAGGGTGCTAAAAAAGAATCCCGGCAGAGTTTCTTTCATCAAAAGAGTCACAATCCCTGTGTATATAGTTCACCACGGTTCCACAAGCAAGCATACACACTCATTTGCCACATATTGTCAACACTATGTTTCAAGAAGATTGAATAACAACACAATGCATAATCATTTCAATTTATCTCTTTGTAACTCTTTTCTTTTTTAAAACTCGTCATATTATGTCCTTCGGAACTCGATCATATGCCTACTCTAAATCTATAAATAGCATATGAAGATTGTTTTTTTTCTCCATAACCCTCCATTAGTCTACTAAGTATATAGTTTTAGTTGTTGATCTCCCAAGCAGAAATCCAAATTGATTCTCTGATGCCATTGTTTCAAGTCTTAGTCATTGCTTGATCACTGGCCCCCAAACTGTCATTGTATGGCTGATTAAATTAATATCTCGATAATTTGTGCAACTCTTGATGTCCCATTTGTTTTTATGTAAGTACTAAAACAGTATTCCTCCACTCATCTATCATCTTCTTAGTTGTTATAATCTTATTAAGTAGTTTAGTTAAGCACGATACCCCTACATCTTCTATACACTTTCAAACCTCAACCGGTACACCATGTGGTCCTAAGGTTTTTTTGTTGATGCATTATTTACTTCAAACACATCAATTCTAAGAAAAAACTTATTTTCGCTAGTCTCACTTTGATTTTTGTATTGTCCAACCTCTGAGTTTCCTATATGATCCTCATTTAATAATTTCTCAAAATAAGTTTTTCCACTTTCCTTAATTTCCTCATTTTTTTATCAGCACTCTAAATCCTTATTTAAGATATACTATGTGGTTAACATGCTTAGTTTTTCTTTCTCTTAANCAGCACTCTAAATCCTTATTTAAGATATACTATGTGGTTAACATGCTTAGTTTTTCTTTCTCTTAAGCAAGTCTATATATATTTCTCTCTCCATCCGTTGTATCTAGCTTCAAATAAAAATCGCATATACTTTATACTTGATTTTTTGTTACTGTTTTTTTAACTTCTTTATTTAGAAGCTTTTATTGTTTGATAGTTTCTTTGATTCTAGAAGCTGCTTTTTTTTTTTTATTGCAATGGTCATACCCTTGTTTCCTCTACAGAAGTTAGCTTTAGGAGTGCTAAAATGTGATTTTTATTATACTGATTATAGAATGATTTTTTTCCTGGGATTTTGTGATCAAGGACAAATTTAGATTGGAATATTGTCATACTATATTTAATTTCAGGTCCATTTTCCGTTGATTTGTTCACTGTAAATTGCAATTGTAAAAAATCCAATATCTTTTCTTTCTTCCTGCACTATGTCAGACACATTTTCTGTGGAGAAGTTACCTGTGAAATACTTCATGGAAGAGATGCATGGTGGAAATTCATTACGGAGGACTACGACTCTAGGGAATGAGAAAGAACGAGAAAGAGTGTACGATACGATATTTCGCTTGCCATGGCGATGTGAACTGGTGAAGTGGCTGTCCTATCACAACTTTATGAAGCATTACATACTTTTGAGTCATATACTTGGTCGTTGTCACAAATATCCATTTTTCTTTTTGTTTTGGTGTTAGATATATGTATGCATGTTTTTGTGTCTCAGGATGTAGTTTTTTGGTCCTACATTGCTATACANGGTCGTTGTCACAAATATCCATTTTTCTTTTTGTTTTGGTGTTAGATATATGTATGCATGTGTATGCATGTTTTTGTGTCTCAGGATGTAGTTTTTTGGTCCTACATTGCTATACAGAGATTGAGGGCTGGACCTCACCTTTTGCTCAAAGTGTCCTTTTTTTCGCTTTAGCACTTGAATAAAAAAAAAGAGGTGTCCTTTTTCTCTCCTCCAAGTATTAGAGAGCTTTTGAAGTTTGAAAGGGGAATCCATATATAATATATTGTANCTAAGTGTCCTTTTTTTCGCTTTAGCACTTGAATAAAAAAAAAGAGGTGTCCTTTTTCTCTCCTTCAAGTATTAGAGAGCTTTTGAAGTTTGAAAGGGGAATCCATATATAATATATTGTACTGGCTGTCTAGTTTATGAATTGAATTGATTTACACAAAATAATTTCTTTATGACAGATTCTTAAGGATGACAATGCTTTTGCAGCTTATAGATGTTGGCTACTTCGTCTGTTTCGATTCGTTTCTGTCACTGTTGACTATGATGCCAACAAGGATTCTTATGACCTTTTGGAGGCTTCTTAAAACAAGGTTTGTTTCTTGTTTATTTAAATAATTCTTTCATGGAATATAGTAGTAGTAGGATATCACATGCCAGGGTATTACTTTTTGACCCTCTAACTGCATTTGACCATAAAAAATGTTTTATTAAAGGTTGCTTTTTTTGTCATTTGCATACTCTTCGATTAATATGCATTGTATATTTTTTTCCCTGCTTTACCATTGAAACCTAATTGTGGAACTGGTCTAATGTGGACTGTTCTGATCAACTATCATGAATTGGAGACGTTTTTCTTGCACAGATAGTAGTAAGCTTTTAGAACCTGATGTTCTTAGTTTTAATATTTTGGAGAAGTGCTTGGGCAAAAGCAAAGATGTGGATTTTTTCTTCCTGCTACTGCACAGGAAGATATTATTTGTTCTATCATTCTCCTCACAGCACTTTCTTGTGTCATTTGACATTATAGTAAATGCCACATCCTTAAAAAGGAGATTGTAGCATGTAAAATTTCCAATTTGTTAGCAGGATTACAGGATCGAGGAGGAGCCCGGAAAATAAAGATAGAGAGTGAAACTTCATCAGTTCAATGTAGCACCTCATACATGAATAAGATTCCAATTCTGATTTAATTTATTATTTTCTCAGAAAACCAACAAGAAACTTTGTGGTCCTAGTGCTCTGTTAGGTAGCAGTGAGGAGCATTGGTGGAGTGATTTACTTCTCAGAACAAGAGATGTTATTGTACTTGAGTTTTATTTCCTTGAAACGTAGATGTATCGAAAACAAATTGGATGCTTTACGCTAGTTTGAATTCAAGTCTACCATTTTATTTGTCATTCCCTTAGAAATCATAGTCACATAAGCTCCATACTTTGCTCTCTGCTTTATTTTATTGACTAAGTTAATCTCAAGATAAAGCCAGGAGTCAGCTAAAATATCAAAAAAGCTCATGTCAAATTACAAAGAAGAAATTTGTGCAAAGGCTTCTAATTCTGCGAATTGTGCCAGTTCCCATTTTTATTTGCCTGCTACTTGTTTCATGGCTTTTATTTGAGCTGCAGACCCCACTCTATCAGGCCTGCCTTTCTTTTTTCTAAAAGAAAAGGGACATATGAACAGGAGATTAATAGGTTATATGCTCTTACCAAGAAAGCTAAAGAAAATGGATGGTTATAAAAATTAATAATGAATTTGCTCAAGATGAGAAGTGCATTACACTCTTGTTGATTCTTCTGCAAAAGTTAAACTTTCATTTTGTTTTCTATTTGGATGGTTAAGTGTAATGCAAATGCTCAAGCAGTCAAGCAATATGAACCTGAAGATGAGGGATGCTGGTAGACTAATGTNCTAAAGTTAAACTTTCATTTTGTTTTCTATTTGGATGGTTAAGTGTAATGCAAAAGCTCAAGCAGTCAAGCAATATGAACCTGAAGATGAGGGATGCTGGTAGACTAATGTTGCCCAATAAAAACCAGCTTTTAAATTTCAAGAGACCCATTTAAATCCAGCACATGGGCATAATATAATTTCCTGCAGTGGATTTGTCCTTTCAATTGATTCTGTTATTATTATTCGGACTTTACACTGTGGTGTTCTGGGGATTTTAACTTATGAGTTAATTAAGAAAGATGTTCCCAACCTATGACTCCTTGTTAACACATTCTCCATCGCCCCCCCCAACCCAACCCAACACACACACGCACAAAATATAAAGAAAAAGGCATGCCAGAAGAGGGTGCTCAGCCATTGACTACAACGCTGAGGAGGGAACCTAGTATGGGGTGCTTTCAGAGCCAAACATGAAGATGAAACAAAATATGTTTGTGCTTTTGTAGAGACAATGGTAGACCTGTAACATAGACCTAGTACTCTCCTAAGCAGTCCAGAAAAAGTCATGTAGGTGCTGCTTTTGAAGGGTTCAAAAGTAGAATGTGGTCCAAAACGAGCTAACGCGAGTTTTCGAATGAAGGTTTTCCCCTTTGTGAACATCACTAAGATAGGCTTTTCCCCGAACCATTGACCGGGAGGGAGAAGTTGATTCATTCAATGAAGCTTTATTGGTTTGATCTAGTAAGGGGGTGTTAGAAATAAACCACCGCCCGGCAAAACAACGGTTTACAAAAGAGCGACCTGGGACATCGAGCCAAGAGCCCCAATGCACGTATTCGGAGCTACCCAGATGCCGGGAGGCAAAGAAGTAGTAGAAAATGTTGAAGAGGATACAACCCACTCTTGGACTTAAGAATATGCGCGTCGCGTGCTTGATCTAGCAATCTTGGACAATTCTTTTGATGAACTGTCACTAAACTAAAAAAGAAGGAAGAGAAAGAACTGGGATTTATGTAGGCTTGCTTGCTTAACAAGCTATTCGTCCTTTCAAACAAGACTACGTTGCCAATAAAAAATCCTTCTTCTAATAATGAGAAATTATGGATAAATTATCAGACTGGTGTGATAAGATCGTGAAAAGGTGTTAATAAATCAGGGAAGTGGAATTGAAGACAATGGGAAGCCAGTGCTATAATGGCTCTATGGCCAGGGTGCCCACATGACATCTGTGAGGGAGGTTTGGAGGTGTGGGTTCAAATCTTCTTCGTTGTCATCTAAAGAGGTTGGAATGGTTGAAAGGTTGAATGCAAACTTCTAAAGACTCTTGAACACAAGGAAAGCAGATAGAACATGTGGAGTATCTTATCAAGCCAATATGAAACTGATGTAGGTGAAAAGATCGAAGAATCGAAGAAATTGAAAATAGAGAAGTGGAAGAGGAAGAGCATGAACTGGGCTACTGGACATGATTTTTCCAGGTGATTGCCAAACTTTATAGAAGCCGATGGGTTCTATTCATGGTTGGAGCGTGTTTCTGTTAAATATTTCAAGTAGAAAATGTTTTCAGGGAAAGACCGTACAGGCATAACAAAAAAGGAGAAAATAAAACCTGCATATTGCTTAGATGTATTGTGCCCTACAGGAAATTGGCTTGAAAGAAAGGCAGAAAATAGTCCTGTGCTAAGCATTTGACCACGTAGTTTGTCACCTCTGCATATGCATGTGACTGGAAACCAGTCCTGAAGGGAAAGTGTGGAAAGTTAGCTGAAACTATGAACATAAATCCCACATTGTGTTCCATGTTAGATTGTCATGGGATCTTTAAAAGCTGGCAATTTTTCCAATAGTTATTTTCTAGATTTCTTTATACTACTGTTTATTAGAGGACCAGTTGCGCTAATCTGTTCCGGTTTTGGGCTTCAAGTAGGAAGAATTTTTTTTTCTAGTTTTATTTCATTTTTTTTTTTTGTCTTTTGCAAAATGCATTTGGGAGGAAAAAGGAAGAACTAGAGCCTCTACATTTAAAGGACTGCTTTAAAATCAGGAGCCTGCTTTCACTTGCCGATTTCACTTTTTTTTTTTATTATTTTTTCTTGTGGTTGTCTCTGTGTGCATCTGCACTTGTACTTTGAGTTTTGGTAATTTGTAGTATTACAAAATAACCTAAACCAAGGTTATGGCAGGCAGTTCCAGAGGCTTTCAGCTGCAGAGCTGTCTGATTTTGGCTGTTTTATTGTGCTTGCTGCTGGAGTCACTCTTTTACAACTAACAGGTCCATCAACGAATTTGACCTTTTCAGTTTTACAACTTACAATTTCCTACCACCATAGGATATAGTAGCCTGCTTTGTTTTGTATGAAGACATGAATTTGTTAATTAGGTTTGGTGGTATGTTAACCTTATATTCCCTGTGTTTTGCTGCCTCAGATATCAGCCTGATATATCACATGATTCGTGGTCAAGGCACAATCAAACTATATGTGGTGTACAATGTGCTGGAGGTAAGAAAATAAATTGCTGGCTCTTGAAGGATGGACANGTATTGTGCCCTACAGGAAATTGGCTTGAAAGAAAGGCAGAAAATAGTCCTGTGCTAAGCATTTGACCACGTAGTTTGTCACCTCTGCATATGCATGTGACTGGAAACCAGTCCTGAAGGGAAAGTGTGGAAAGTTAGCTGAAACTATGAACATAAATCCCACATTGTGTTCCATGTTAGATTGTCATGGGATCTTTAAAAGCTGGCAATTTTTCCAATAGTTATTTTCTAGATTTCTTTATACTACTGTTTATTAGAGGACCAGTTGCGCTAATCTGTTCCGATTTTGGGCCTCAAGTAGGAAGAATTTTTTTTCTAGTTTTATTTCATTTTTTTTTTTGTCTTTTGCAAAATGCATTTTGGAGGAAAAAGGAAGAACTAGAGCCTCTACATTTAAAGGACTGCTTTAAAATCAGGAGCCTGCTTTCACTTGCTGATTTCACTTTTTTTTTTTATTATTTTTTCTTGTGGTTGTCTCTGTGTGCATCTGCACTTGTACTTTGAGTTTTGGTAATTTGTAGTATTACAAAATAACCTAAACCAAGGTTATGGCAGGCAGTTCCAGAGGCTTTCAGCTGCAGAGCTGTCTGATTTTGGCTGTTTTATTGTGCTTGCTGCTGGAGTCACTCTTTTACAACTAACAGGTCCATCAACGAATTTGACCTTTTCAGTTTTACAACTTACAATTTCCTACCACCATAGGATATAGTAGCCTGCTTTGTTTTGTATGAAGACATGAATTTGTTAATTAGGTTTGGTGGTATGTTAACCTTATATTCCCTGTGTTTTGCTGCCTCAGATATCAGCCTGATATATCACATGATTCGTGGTCAAGGCACAATCAAACTATATGTGGTGTACAATGTGCTGGAGGTAAGAAAATAAATTGCTGGCTCTTGAAGGATGGACATGCCCAAAAATTTATAGAATTTTCTGACTACAGAGTTGAAATTTTATTCTCAACTCAGATACATTACGCCATTGATGGAAGATGTTGCTATCCATGAAAAAGTATATGAATAACTATTGTTTATGCATTTAATGAAAGAATGACAGAGATGGCTTGCATTAAGACTTCCTTACTTCCGTTAGGGTTGTGTCCTCCAATGCAACATATGTAATGAAAATACTGGTCTTCTTATCTCTCTTTTTGTTATTGCTTCTCTGTCCGCATTCGCGTGCATTTACTTAACTCTTTTCTTTACATTTTTTTTTGTTTAATCTATGCAGTTTGACTAACTCAATATGTTGTTAAAGCTATTGTTTTACTATCTTTTAGTTTTTATACAAGTAAAATGGTCTTCATGATACCCCTATATATGCATATAATGGGATAGATTCTATCACAAGCTATTTCTTTCCACCATGAAGTGTCCAAATAAATTATTAGAAATGTTGTTTTAAAAAGTATTTTTCTAAAGTTGGATTCGATATAATGGATAGATTCTATCACAAGCTATTTCTTTTCACTATGAAGTGTTCAATAAATCATTAGAAATGTTGTTTTAAAAAGTACTTTTCTAAAGTTGGATTCAAAATATAGATATAAAGGAAACAAACTAATTCTAATCAAAGTTGAAATGTGGAAGAAACTCATAACGAATCGAAAATTAATACAGATTCAACTTAGGGCACCTTCATTACAAAGAGGGTCAACTTTGCCTCTAGTTTACGATTTTTTAAATGCAGTTCGAAACTCGCTTGTGTGATCAAGTCAATAACAAAGTTAACCGTGGCAAATTGCCTCTTTCACATGAAATTTTTTGAACCAAACATTCTGAATTTTATTTTTGGGGCAGCTTTTTGGGAACTAGTTGACCATAAAATTGTGGTTTAGCATTGAAAAGACATAATTCTAGACCAAAGAGAGGAATCGAAAAATGAGGCTAAGAGAGTGGAGGCCTTGAAACATTTAAGCACTGCGATTTTGTTGCTAGTTTAACACCAGTATTTTGTTTAACTTAATTTTACGGGTATATAACTATACTATACCTACACATTACATAATTTTTTTTGAAATTGCTACTTTCCCGGTCCTGGTCCCTCTCTTGCATCTACTATGCACACTATTATCCTAAGATTTGAGCCTTACATGGATCACTCTCACTTGGAAATTATGCAATTGTTAATTTATATCGTTGAGGTGTAGCTGGATAGAAAGTTGGGAACACACAATTGTAATATACACATTCCCAAAAAAAAAAAAAAAAAAAAATAATAGAACCTGGGCGTAATGAAATTTGTTCCTATGTTTAATGATAAAGACATGAGAATTTTCCCACGGCTTCACAAGCCAGGTCCTAGAAGATGGTTTTTTTTTCCCTCTGTAAATGGTTTCCATGATATATGTTTCATCATAACAATCGACCCATAATATTGAGTTCTGCTCAATGTTACCTAGACCGTGAATCGATTTAGTACGTGGTATAGGTATGAGTGTGTGGTACGCTACATCTTCTGATATGCGGTGCGACGAGGTAGGTTTAGTTGGTACACCGATTTGGGTCATGACTCGTTTTCTATAGGATTGCTTTTGCGATTATATATAATTATATATTCATATATAGTTAACTAGTATTTATTTTGGGGTCGAAAATTTAAGCGATTTAGATTGCGAACCAACCCCATTTCGGGTAGTGCAACCACAGTTTGTGGGACGATAAAATCTCGGTATCCATGGACTTCTGCTTTCGAAGTGCTCTGGAAACTCTTAATATGGTAATGATTATGACCGAATTTTGTCAACATTACAATCCTACACTTTGGAATTTATGGGCTATAGGGTAANGCACCTGGTCCCTCTCTTGCATCTACTATGCACACTATTATCCTAAGATTTGAGCCTTACATGGATCACTCTCACTTGGAAATTATGCAATTGTTAATTTATATCGTTGAGGTGTAGCTGGATAGAAAGTTGGGAACACACAATTGTAATATACACATTCCCAAAAAAAAAAAAAAAAAAGAATAATAGAACCTGGGCGTAATGAAATTTGTTCCTATGTTTAACGATAAAGACATGAGAATTTTCCCCGGGCTTCACAAGCCAGGTCCTAGAAGATGTTTTTTTTTCCCTCTGTAAATGGTTTCCATGATATATGTTTCATTATAACAACCGACCCATAATATTGAGTTCTACTCAATGTTACCTAGACCGTGAATCGATTTAGTACGTGGTATAGGTATGAGTGTGTGGTACGCTACATCTTCTGATATGCGGTGCGACGAGGTAGGTTTAGTTGGTACACCGATTTGGGTCATGACTCGTTTTCTATAGGATTGCTTTTGCGATTATATATAATTATATATTCATATATAGTTAACTAGTATTTATTTTGGGGTCGAAAATTTAAGCGATTTAGATTGCGAACCAACCCCATTTCGGGTAGTGCAACCACAGTTTGTGGGACGATAAAATCTCGGTATCCATGGACTTCTGCTTTCGAAGTGCTCTGGAAACTCTTAATATGGTAATGATTATGACCGAATTTTGTCAACATTACAATCCTACACTTTGGAATTTATGGGCTATAGGGTAATGTCATTTTTTCAATCCTTTCTTGTTACTACGCCTTCGGTTGGGTCTTGTAAAGAGGTTGGGAAAGTAAGATGATAAAAAATGCCTTCCTTCCTAGGTTCTCTTAACATTGACCTTTGTTTCCAACTTTTCTATATCTGAAAAAAACCTAAGGAAGAATTATTAGCAATATATTTGTATTTTTGATGAGGAAGCCGACAAAAATCAAGGCAACCAATGATTAATGACAGAGGATGCAAGTCCAAGTCAGTCCTCGAGGGGTGAATGAGTATACTATTACTTTGAATTTGCAAAAGCCCTTGCCACCAGCAGAGACACTAGTCTCCTGCTTATGTTACGAAGCAGAGAAAAGCAGTCCTTGAGGGCTAAAAGGATTTGACCCAGTATCATTCTTGGTTTACTCAGTTGACACTGTTGTGTAATTGTATCCATGGATGCCATGACCACATCTGCTGTTGTCAAAATAGTGACGTCTAAAATGGAAGAGTGTTGTGTTATACTAAGCTATATTAGTGGTTTGTTAATTTTAGGAATGATCATAGCTTTGTAAAATTCTGATTGATGTCAAAAATATAGGGTCTGTTTGGTTAGATTCTTCAACACTATTTTTTTGTACTCAAAACTATAAAAAAAATGAAACAATGTTTGGTTTGAATTTTTTTTCTTCAATTTTATGAAAAAAGTGGGAATTGAAGCATAAAAATAGAAAACAAGCCCAACTTGTTTTCAAGTCATTTTTGCGAAAATTTTGGAAACACGGAGACAAACCTCTTTAATGAGGTCTGCCTTTTGAGTCCCTTTAGCAGCAAAAGGCATCCTTTTTTTTTTCCCCTTCCTCTCTCTCTCCACTTTGTCCATCAAACAGAACGAACACCACAAAGGAAGCTTAAGTGTCTTCTCTCTCTCTCTCCGGCGTCTTCTTCTTCACCACAGTGGAAGCTTTAGATCTGCCCCTCTCTTTCGCAACAACTAAAAATTCAGATTTGTATGCGTCTGTGTATGTGTGTGTGTGTGTGTGTATGTGTGTGCGTGTGTGTGTTTTGTGGAGACAGAGAGAGGGGAAAGAAAGATAGAGGTGGGAATTGTCTGTGTGTGCGCGCGTGTGAGTGTGTTTTGTGGAGAGAGAGAGGGGAAATAAAGAGAGAGGTGGGAATTGTGGATTATTGTCCAAACAGATTTTATAATTTTTGTTCTTTAAAACTATTTTCAAAAATATATAACCAAATATGTTTTGTAATCTAAAAATTTTAAAAACACTTTCTTAAAATTCTTCCCAAAAATAGTTTTTGGATACTGTTTTTTGAGATGCAAATCAAATAGACCCATTCTCTTTCCTGCCAACGTTGATTTTAGAACAAACATAAAAAAGATGCCCATAACAAATAAAGTCTTTGGTTGGAAGAAGAAATAAAAAAATATGTTACGAAGATCGAGGTCTAGCAAATTAAGGGTAAATTATATTCTCTCCTGTAGAAAAAACTACAAGACAGCAAAGACCATGCAATACCTCACTACAACTATATATTTTAGGGATGATCTTTTATGTCCTTTTTTTTCTCTTGCACATAATCCATATGCCAAGGAAAGACTCGTGTCTGTTGAGGCTTAACTGCTTAAGTCATTAAATAAGTACATTCTACTCATATTGAAATTTAAACTTTTTATAATGGCTTGTTCAGCCAATTTGTTCAACCAGAAATCTTTTATGTTGATGTGGCACCAAGTAATTTGGAAAGTAACACATCGAATCCACTAAAATAGTTGCAAAAAATATCAGAAAGAAACATGCTAATAAATGCCTAAGCTATCAGAAAGTTGTTATCCTCATGTTTAGTGCCTTCTTCTCTATGTTTATTCATTGTTTTCAACAAAGTGCTGTGTTCTTTAAGTTATTGTTATTTTCATGTTCTTGAGACTGATAGGCTGGTCTACCATTGTAATTTAGATTGGGCCTAGTTGACCTATGTTTAATGGGCATGGGTTCTTTTCAAGTATCAGTTGTGAATCGTATTTTTCTTTGTATTTGTTTGTCTTTGTTAAACGTCATACTGTGATTGATATTATATAAACTGATGTTTGCTCCTTGGTGACAGATATTCGATAAACTATGCCAAAGTTTTGGTGGAGATGTAATGCAAACCCTATTTAACTCAGCTGAGGGACTTGCAGATTCCTCACCAGAAAACATGAGATATTGGCTATGGAGATTTATTTCAGATGAAGCATTAGCTATGGCTTCATCAAATATCCTTATGTAGCAATAGTTTTGTTCTTGTCAGTGCTAGAGTATCTACTCAACCTGTTTTCATTTTGGCACCTTAACTCTTCATACTTTTGCATTCATTCATCTTATTGGCTCAGGCAATTACCTTGTCAACCTGTATAGTTGCTCACAATAATGCGTTGCTGGCTTTGCTAGTATCAAACAATTTTGCTGAGATAAAAAGCAACGTGTTTAAACGTTTTAGTAAGGAGAACATTCACAGTATGGTATATTATGGTTAGTTATCTTCTCCCTATTAGTTCATTATTTGTTGGAAGACTTACTAATGCTATTCTTTGCATTGTTGTGACACCTAAAATTTTGATTGCTTCCTGACTTTACCTGACAGGGACCCTTTCCCTTAACATTGCTGAATTGACCTGTTTCATCCTGCTCATTATGTCATTTGTACTCATATGATCTCGATATGGCATTCCAGATGAAGAACAAACAAAGAAAGTGATATGAATTGAACATCATGCATATACATCCTTATGCTAGTGGCTTGTTAGCTGTCTAAGTGAGATATTGGATGCATGGGAGATTGCAGGTCATAATAATGTCTGATAGGTTATCTGAATTTTAAAAATTGACTAGAGTGTTCTAAAAAGGTCTTCTTGGGTGATTCTTCCCCCCTCACCCCTTTTGCTCCTCTCTCTCTCTCCCCCTCCATATATATTGTCATTATCATTAAGATAACAAAAAGTCTGACGCTAATGGATCCACACATGTTGATTAGTATTTCAATGTATAAGTCCTAGGAAGCACGGATACGGACATGAGTATCGTATCTGATACGATATGGATATGGGGATACAACAAAGTTTAGGACACGGGTACAGTGAGGATACGTCAATTAAAATAATATAATATATTTTTTAAATAATAATAGAGTTGTAATATATTAAANCAGGTACAGTGAGGATACGTCAATTAAAATAATATAATATATTTTTTAAATAATAATAGAGTTGTAATATATTAGAAATAAAGCATATACTATAACAATATTAATAATAAGACCTAGTAAATGTTAATTTTTTGATTAAAATTGAAATAGATCAAAATAGATATCAATTATTTTCATCAAACATAATTCCATCCATTGACATTCATAGTATAGAAGTTACATAACAAAAATTATTTAAAAAAAACAGAAATAACACCTCTTTTAATAGTCAACAATTGTTTTTTTTCAAAAAAAAAAATACCTTGTCGTANAAAACAAAAATTATTTAAAAAAAACAGAAATAACACCTCTTTTAATAGTCAGCAATTGTTTTTTTTCAAAAAAAAAAATACCTTGTCGTATCCTGGACGTATCTTGATTGTGTCCTAGACGTATCCTGATCGTGTCCTAGCCGTGTTCGACTAGATTCACTATTTAAGACACTTCTGGCCATGTCTGGCACGAGTTTGGCCGTGTGTGGCACGTGTCTGACGTGCCACGACACCCTTCTGGGAAGTATCCGTGCATCCTTGGATGAGATGTTAGCAAATTTCTTAGTCTTTGTGGTTGGGACAAGGTGTTGTTGGTTTGAGTTTTGTTGGGTGTAATTATCATATTAGTCTCTAACATTTTGTTCTCAATGTTACCGTGTGGCCTGTGAAATTGAATTTCTGCTTGTAATTATTTTTAGTTATAATCTCTCATGTGTGCAATTAATTCCATTTGATTTCACATTGATGTATATATTTTCATTGCTAATGGCCAGATTCAGTGGAGAGGTTCCATATTTCAGCATTTATCTTATTCGTTTTAGCTCAAAACATTCTGGAGGCTGAGGGCCCTTGGTTTGAAAGCTTCCTCTTTGTAAGTTCACATGATCTTTGAAAACACAGTGATTTTGAAGTGATACAATAAAAGATTGAAAATAGAAAGTAACTGGTTTCAATTATATGTCTCGTCATTTTCTTATATATTTTGTTTGTGTGTCACAGAATGCTCTTCTTGTTTATGTATGTGAGATGATGATTGACATAATCAAACATTCATTTATTGCTAAATTCAACGACATAAAGCCTATTGCATTTTCTGAATTCCTTGAAGACCTCTGCAAACAGGTATAAGTTTCTGGTTCTGTCATTTCTCTTTATAAATTTACCCTCAAGTTCTTTCGCAGGCTGTACCATGTCTTTATTATTGTGGATTCACATTTATCTTTCCTAAAGTGATTAACATATTCAGTTCTCCTGTTGTCTTTCATGTTCACTCCTGCATTTAGGCGTCGTCCTCTGAATTCCCTGTGTAGGTCATAGATTTCCTTGAAAAGGCTATACACCAAAATTGGCCATTCATTTGGTTATTTTGCAAATATAATAATTTTATTTGCAGACTTGTATTCTACATCTACATTCTTGCAATGTGGCATGCTTGAATTGGGTGGTCATTACTTGGACACAGCAGTAGTGCAGTTATTTTGTGCGTATATATATCTCCCTGTGCGTATGAATTGGGATATGCCATAAACATGCCTCATTCTGGAGCTTTTGTATCGATTCACTTGTGTATTCAGGTGGCTCTTTACTTTTCTGTGTTGATCTGCCTATACTCATCTACATTGGGTCACATCGTAGTTTCTTTGACGTTCACCTGTCGTTAAGGCTACCAAAAGAATTGATTTTCTTGTTATTAAAGCTTGTTTGACCTCGTTCCTAAGTAATATCAAAGATCTAGCTTCAAGATCATTTACTTAAGAGGTCTGACTAATTCCAGTTCGACTTGAGTAGGCCTATGAACATTCCACGTACGGTTGACTTGGTTGTAGTAACCAAATGGCTTGTGCAAGTTATTGATAGGTGACACATTTTACAAGGCAAATAGTAATGTGACTAAATTACGTTTTGATAATTAAAGTCAATACTCCCTGTTTATGACATGCATTTTTAACTTACAATTTACAAATCATCAAAGGTGGAGTCATAAATATTTTCTTGTGTGGGCACTCTTGGTCGGTTGTTTAACTACATGTCTTAGTTTCTGTCCTAATCCCAATTGATGAATCTACTTAAATTTATTTACATCATAATTTATACTAAAACATTCATTAAACACAAGGGGCTAAAGCTGGTATACGTAAACAAAAAAATAAATCAAAAAGAGGCCAATTACAACCCGTTACAAGGAGAGCAATGCTATTGAAACCTAAAAATCTAATCTAATTTGTTGATCTGATGATGTGAAGATGACATAGTCTAATATATTTATTGTAACAACTGTTAAATTGTCTTCATCAGGNTTTAATCTAATTTGTTGATCTGATGATGAAAAGATGACATAGTCTAATATATTTATTGTAACAACTGTTAAATTGTCTTCATCAGGACCACATCACTTAGCACATCATTAGGTATTTTTAGGTCCAATTATTAACTTCAAAAAATGACACTAATTACAACTACTACAAATTATCCTTATAAGTTTTTCATATTTTGAAAACATTTTGTGATAACTCATTATAAATGCTATAAAAAAAAATAAAAAAGACTTCCTCTATATTAAAAATCAAGCTCTCACATGTAACTTTGATTTTTATACTGTAACAAAAGGATCCCATAACTTTTATTGGAAAAATATAAAATAAAACTTGAGATCTCCACAATTATTTTGGATGTGTCCAAAAATTTATAATCCTTTGGGTATGAGCCTATACAAAGTGATAGTATAAAAAATATAAGTTGAGCACAACTAAATTTGTTTACACTAAAGAATAGTTTTTTTTTGAACTATATGAAAGAATGGTTGAAATATATATAGATATTGTTTTTCAAAAAATTCTAGGGTGGGCCAGTGTCCCCTGGATACTTACTGGTNATAATAGTTTTTTTTTAACTATATGAAAGAATGGTTGAAATATATATAGATATTGTTTTTCAAAAAAATTCTNAGAATAGTTTTTTTTTGAACTATATGAAAGAATGGTTGAAATATATATAGATATTGTTTTTCAAAAAATTCTAGGGTGGGCCAGTGTCCCCTGGATACTTACTGGTGGAGCCAGGCAAACCATAATATCTATTAATCAGCCATGGCACANCTAGGGTGGGCCGGTGTCCCCTGGATACTTACTGGTGGAGCCAGGCAAACCATAATATCTATTAATCAGCCATGGCACAGAGACAAAAATATAACCAGGTACGGCCTCTGTGTAAGTGTGCGTGTACGTCCATATCTGTTATGTTTGGTTACACATAGTTATAATAGCTTTCTTTGGAATCTATTTCTTTGATAATATGGACAACTCCTTTGCATGTTAAATACTGTCAGGGCCGGCTCAATAGAAATTGGGGTATTAAGCAAAAATTTTAACCAAGGACCTTTGAAAATTTAATTTTAATCAAGGCTCTTTGAAAATTTAATTATCAGTAATGTTCTATAAGTAATTCATGCATTTAGAAAAAATATTGCTTATTTAGTAGTTTAGTGTTTCAATTGGTTTATTTCTGTGGTTTGTTTATTAAAATTCTTCTAAGACATTATTTGTTTTTAAATATATAATCTAAAAAACTTGGCATGTTTTTTAACAAGTTCTCAGATTATGATAATTCCCAAGTTATTTGAGATTAAATTAAATTATGTTCATGTAAATTAAAGTAAAAACTATCAATTAAAAATATTCATTACTACCGTCAATGAGCTAATATTAGCCGCATATGGGTTTCCACATTTAGTTAAATTTAGACATAGGGAGGCATTACATTCATTACTTTTTTCCAGTTGTTTGCCTACAGTGGTTTTTGGATGTTGTATTTTTCTTATTTATGCTTGTAGTGGAAGAATGGCATTAATTGCGAGAGAGAGAGAGAGAGTTGCACCGTTGGTATATAGTTCCAAATTACATTTTACTCCACTTCTTTTGGGACTTTATTTTTTCATTGGGGCCCTTCTCAGTAGGGGGGCCTTAAGTGGCCCTTTCAGTGGCTTTGCTTATGGCTGGCCCTGAATACTGTCAAGCTTTTTAGTGAGGTTTATGTAAATTACTTGTTTAGGGTGGGATTTTGTCGTCATTAATCAGAGGCCAATGGACATCCGACTTTACAAGGAATCATTCTCCTCTTGCCAAGGTCTGGGTTCAAGCCTCCCTGATTATGTAAATATGTTTTTGCCATTATCAAAAACAAAAAATAGTGGAAAGAATAACAATAAAATTAAAGAATTCTCTGATCAATGTTTGACCATCTAGATGACTTGGAACCATGATACGGTTCTTAGAAGTTCTAAGACGTTTTATTTTATTTTTGTCGTGGAGAAGTCCAAATCAGATAATTCTTTGTTCTGGTTCATTTGTATTAAGAGATTGATGAGTTTATATTGCGTGAAAAAAAAAAAAAATTGTGTGCATTCCCTGTTAAATATAAAGGTTAACCAAGGGAGCTGTGAAATGATGTAAGTACATCTCCAATCTATTCCAGTAACCCATTGTAGAGAGACTGGATTATCTTGTTGTAGGGACATGAACCCAGGGAGTACGTATCAAATTCTGTTTTAGATTGCTTGTTTGGCTCTTAGTTATGTTTTCCTGTAATTTTGTATCCAGTGACGCCCATTATGATCCAGTGAGTCTCAATTACAGCTATATTGTCTGGTTGTCTTGATTTTTAGAATTAAGACGGCATCCTCTTTCATGGTATTTCCTTTGCTTCCACATTGTTCATCTTATTAGCCAGTACAATATCTTGCAAAATTTATAATTTGTGTTTTTTTCTAATTTATTTACTTTGAACAGACCCTGAATATTCAAACAGAGAATGGGAAGAAAAACCTCACTTTTATTCCTTTGGCTCCAGCTTGTGTGGTAAGCATAAATTTCTTTGTTTAAAACTTGCTGCCCTCCCAAACCTGCAACACATACACATGTAGCAATCATACCCATCCAAAAGTAAAGCAAGCATGTAGATGAAATTACCCTTTATTGTAAATATGAATCAAGTCTATGAGGGTGAATGCTCAGAATCAGTTCATTTTATGTGTATTCACCATTTTTAATTTGATATTGAAACTTATTGGAGCAAGTAATTTTTCTTTTTGCATTTCAGGTAGTTCGGGTACTGCGTCCAGTTTTTGCTGCCCATCTCCCCTACGGTTCCCTTCCCTGGAGGTTCTTCGGGATTTTCTTCCTGTCTGCCACGACCTTTGTGATGCTTGCAAGCCTGAAAGTGATGGTTGGCATGGGCCTTAAAAAACACGCTACTTGGTATGTCCATAGGTGCCGGAAGAGAAAACTTCACTCTGACTAACAAATTATTTGCGGAAGGTATGCCGAGAGGGAGGCTAAATATTCACATCGCTGCAACTGGCTATAAGATTGGCTGTTAAGTGGCAGAACTTGGTTTCATGTCTACCACTACCAGCAGGCGATCAACTGTGGGTGTATCTGTTCCATAAGTCAGAGCTTCCTCCCAATTTTGTGATGGAAAGAGGCCACCTAAAGTTTCCGAAATATCCAGTGAGAACTTACAAGGCTCCATGTTGTTAAATACAAACTTTTCTTTCTCTTGTCCGATGTTTTCAGGAATGCGCTAAGTGTTAACGAGTCATACATATACAAGCCATAATCGCTAGTCATAAGCACTGATTAGTTTTGGCCATAATAGCTGGTGATAAGATCCTAAGTTTGTACTTAGACCCTGTTGTAAATATATTCATTAATAAATTACACACATGTTCGCTAAAGTTTGTAAACATATATTATTTAGATCCTTTAAGTTTAAAATGTTGTACTTAGATAAAAAAATATTTTAATTAAAGATAAAATATTAAATATTTTAAATTTTACAATTAAAATTTATATTTTATTGTATCATGTTTTAAAATAAAATTAAAAATAAAAATTTAATTTTTTCTTAAAAAATTGTAATTAATATACAATTATATTGTTTATTGGAATTTAATTTAGTCATTTAAACGATCAAATTAAAATATCAAATTATTTCAATTAAAGTTAAAAGATATTTTGTCTATTATAGTTTGATTCTTTGTTTAATTTTTTAGTTTTATTTTAATAGATAATATAATTATATATTAACTATGATTTTTAAAAAAAATTATATTTATATTTATAATTTTATTTTAATAAATGATATAATAAAACATAAATTTTGGATGTAAATTTTATATTCTATTACGAACGATTTAGACCCTTTGTTTGATATTTTAGTTTTATTCAAATAAATAATATAATTGTATATAAATTATGATTTTTTAAGAAAAAAATTAATTTTTTAATTTTAATAAATGACAATAAAACATGAATTTTAGTTATAAAATTTAAAATATTTGATATTTTATATTTGATTAGAGTTTTTTTAGTCTAAGTATAATATTTTAAACTTAAAAGATTTAAGTAATATATATTTACAATCTTTAGAGGGATTTAAGTGTAATTTATTAACAAATATATTAACAATAATAATTTAAGTGTTATATGCGTATAAATTTTAAAGAGTTTGTATATAATATTTTAAATGACAATAAGTCTGAGTCATTAAATAAGCTCGGGAAGTCTGAGTATAACGGAAGCTGGACAACCGGTGGATTTAAAAATTCCCCCTTGTTCGCGGTGATGCAATGGTCAAAATCCTTCCGGGGGAACGATAAGGACAGGACGGGACGGGAATAAAAAGATATTTATTACTTAATAATGTAAGTTAAATGCAGAGATTATTATTAAACAGAGGGACCTCCACAAGTCACAATTATCATGGCACTAAAAAATAAAGAACTTGATGAATCAATCACAAGTGAAGGCTGTCCATAAGCTTACTGGTTTACCCCAAAATCCTATGGATGAGAACTCAGTGGATGAAATTCATACGCCTACGTGGGATACCACGATACCAGTTCCATTAATAAGCAAGCAGCAGCACTTTATCATGACCTAATTTCCCAAAATTTATGGTTTCAGAACCAGTTCATAAAATTTCAAAGCAAGGGACCCTTACAAAACAATGACCTATTTTTTTCAATAAAGCAGGAAAATTAATCTTCGTCTACTCCTTCGAACGCCCATTCGTGTTCCTTGCGGATTTTCGCCTCTTCCTCGGCGGTGAAATCATTCACAATGTTGAATGTCCGGCGAACCCACTCCGGCGACTTATTCTTCATCACATCAGCAACTCTCTGACAGCAAATATCCAGCAAATTCTTGATGTTCAAATAATTGGCAGCCAAGATTATATCAAAAATCTCCGACAGTTTCTTTTCGACAAAAGCAGAATCGAATTTCTCCATATCTTCCTTCGAAACCGATGAGTCTACGTGCTTCTTGAGATATTCTATGATTTGAATCATAATTTTGCTGTTGACGTTGGGCAAGGGAATCACGTTGGAAGCGCATTCGTCTTCGACCATGTTCCTGATCGTCACGGCCTGGAGAGCGATCGTCTCTTCGATCTGGAATTTTTGCTTGTCGGACGTGCACAATGTGAGCATCTTCGTCTCTGTTGTTGTCGTTGCCATGGTCGATAGATGGAAAGAGAGAAACGTAGAGAACAAACTCAGAATTAGAACCCTCAGAGAAACCCTGGAGGAAGAGCTGGTTGATTGATTATGTATTGTATTGAATAGGCGTAGGAGTACTGAGGTATACACGTGTTAGGGCTGAGGATTCCTTTTAAAAAACAGTAATGCTATACGGACTAAAAAAATAAATTTGATAATTACAACCATTAATTTCTAGGCCGAGGAAAGATTAGCTCGATCTTCTAATTTAACTTGCTAAAGAGTTTCCTCAGGGTTGTAATTGTCATTTAAATGATCTTCTCATTCTAACAAAACACCTCCATGGTCATCTTGACGACGACGACGACGACGACGACGACAATAATAATAATAATAATAATAATAATAATGATTATGTAATTTATACTTAATTTAAGTATTTAATTTAGGAACTTATTGCATTGTAGTTATTAGATTTTGTTGGTAAATTTAGGTCAATATTGATACCAACTGGTAATTCATTTGTCATAATAAATTAAATAAAGTCTCAATGAGATTATACTTGAGATGAACTCGACAATAATAGTCATCAACCGTTTGACTCCTCTCTTCCGAATTCTCTTTTTGTACCTTCTTGGATAAATAGCATTCCCACCCTCGAGTTATTCTTTCGGTNGGCAATAATAGTCATCACCGTTTGACTCCTCTCTTCCGAATTCTCTTTTTGTACCTTCTTGGATAAATAGCATTCCCACCCTCAGAGTTATTCTTTCGGTTTTAAAATGTCGCTTAATTTCCATTTCACTCAATTTAGTTCTTAAACTATATAAAATGTATTCATCGATTTTTTTGCTTAACATATTGTAAAAAAATATAAAAATAAAATATGTAAGGAGTAAATGAAACAAGTTTTAAGAGATTTTCCATTTGATTTAATGAAAAGTTGCAATGAAGAAGTGGATTGTTAGTTTATCTCCATTAAACCCTAAAATTCGATAAATTGGCTTCTTCATCACATCAAAAATTAAAACTTAATATTGATCCGATAGTTCTAATGAAATTACATCATTTGGTTAATAAATTAAAATAAATTTTTAAATCCAAATAGCATTACTCTTAAAAAAAAATTAGTGGTTGTCTCCCATGAATTTATTCATTTAATTAATTTTTAAATAAGAGGCCAATGTATTTTTTTTTATTTTTGGTCTCAATAAGATGCCCATGTAATTAGCCAAAAAAGAAGGGGAAAGTCTATAGTACCGCCTTCGGTATCGTACCAAAATTTATCATCATTTAAGGTCAAGTTATAACTTTTTTGAAGTATAAGTTACCTTTAAGGGTCATGATCGATCATGATGGACTGGAATTGATAACGAAGTTACAACTTTTTAAGATCAAATTACAACTTAAAATGAAGAAGTTATAACTGCTTAGGGAAAGTTCATGATCGATCATATGTATTTGTGATCGATCATGGTTCCTTTGATCTATCTTAGACTTCCCTTGATTAGTTATAATTTCTCCCTTTTGAATTATAATTTTATCATAAAAATAGTAAGTGGAGGTACGGTACTGAAGGTGGTATCATAGACTTTCTCAAAAAGAAGTATCACTTTTTAAAGAAGAGAAGAAAAGAAAAATGGTGCTCCCAAAACTCTTTGGGCTATTTGGTATGTTTTTTGGGAGAGGTTTGGATTAACTTGTTCAAACCTTTTCAAACCCAAAGATAATGTTGTTCATACTCATGTTTGGAATGCGTAGGGATATATAATTATTATGATAAATATATTTGTATATAAATGATTATTGTGTCCCTTATCTAATTTGTATATATGGGGTATATATGATATATGAGGGTATAAATTTTATTTGTATGTTAAACCCATTAACCCATATATGAAACCCACTCCCCTTAGGTTTCATGACTAGGCTGGGTTTCAAACTCTGGGCTAAATATATAGTTGTCAAATATGAATTTAAGGTGGTTTATTCTCTGACCCATGTTCCAAACCCCCTCTCCACACGGGCAGGGCTCTTTTGTAGTTAAGGTCTAGCAGCATACTTTGTTGTTAAATAGAACGGTGACGTTTTGGCCAAGACTCCAGCACCTAGCAATTACATAAAAACGTCGTCGTCTTCTAGCGTCTTCCATCTGTGCAGAACAAAACCTAAAAAAAAGATTGCTCATTTTCTCCAAAATCGACAAACTAGCCCTGCCTGTGTGTAATCGACAAACCAGCCCAACAAATACACAAAACTCTCAGCAGCTTGTAATCACCAACATAAATTCCAAAGTTTTCATTGCTCTTCTCTCTTTTTGTTTCTCTGTAGTGGTTGATTGGCACTTCAACCTCATCTCCTACGATTTCACACTCTCAAGTAATGTTGATATTTTTTTCAAATTTTTTTTATGAAATTCAAGTTCATAAAATTCATATATATATTTTTTAAATTTCCTATAGAATCTTGATATAATTATGAGACTAACATCATTCTTTCTACTACGTTTTTTGTGAGTATATTTGATTGTTTGATATATGGATATTGGTGTTTTAGGCTTTGGTGAAATTGAGTTATATACACTTTGATACATAATATTTTCTTGTTGATAGGGAACATAAAAAATAAGTATTTCCTTGTTCCATTTGTAATTGAAAATATATATGGCCAGTGCTTTATCTTATGTTTAATTTGTGTAATTGTTTGGTTATTATAGGGGACCTAATCTATAGTGGAGATGGAATGTGTTGAGATTGATAAAAAAGACAATACTCCATATATAGGAATGCAATTCGACTCGGAAGAAGATGCTTATAGGTTCTNATATGGATATTGATGTTTTAGGCTTTGGTGAAATTGAGTTATATACACTTTGATACATAATATTTTCTTGTTGATAGGGAACATAAAAAATAAGTATTTCCTTGTTCCATTTGTAATTGAAAATATATATGGCCAGTGCTTTATCTTATGTTTAATTTGTGTAATTGTTTGGTTATTATAGGGGACCTAATCTATAGTGGAGATGGAATGTGTTGAGATTGATAAAAAAGACAATACTCCATATATAGGAATGCAATTCGACTCGGAAGAAGATGCTTATAGGTTCTATAACAATTATGGTGGAACTGTGGGATTCAGTGTGAGAAAAGATTATCACAACAAGAGCTTGAAGGATGGTGTATTAATTTACAGAAAATACATTTGTTGTAAATAGAGACAAAGGAGTAAAGATCAAAGGAATTGGAAAATAACAAAAGCTCGGGCAGAGACTTGAACAATTTGCCTTGCTCACATATGCATATCCCTCAAGAAAGATATTGAAATATTTGTTGTTGTTAAATAGGAAGATCGACACAATCACATTTTGCACTTGACCGAATGTATGCATATGATATCATCTCAATAGAAAATTACTATAGCTCAAGGAATCGATGCTGATATTGTTGAGGATTGTGGGATATCACTTAAGGCGNCTCAATAGAAAATTACTATAGCTTAAGGAATCGATGCTGATATTGTTGAGGATTGTGGGATATCACTTAAGGCGTCCTACGAGCTTTTGAGTACCTAATCATGTGGGAGAGAAAGCTTAGGGTTCACTCATCAAGACCAAAAAAATTACATTCGAGAAAGGAGGCAGCGAGACTTGAAACATGGTGAAGCGGGTAGTTTGTTGTAATATTTCCAAACAGAAGCAACTAAGAATCCATCATTTTATTATAAAGTCCAATTGGATGTCAAAGAGCGCATAACAAATATTTTTTAGGTTAATCCATGGATGATTATTGATTATGACCACTTTGGGGATGCTGTCACATTTGACACAACATTCCGAATAAACAAGGAGAACCGACCCTTAGACATTTTGATTGGATTCAACCAGTTCAGGAGATGGTGATATTTGGCGCTGCATTATTGTATGATGAAACTGCAGCATCATTTCAGTGGTTGTTTGAGACATTCCTACAAGCAATGTTTGGGAAGAAGTATGTTACCATTTTCACTGACCAAGATCAAGCAATGACTAAAATTATATCTATAGTGATGCCAAAGACATATCATGGATTATGTTGTTGGCACTTTTCCCAAAATGCTTTAAAGCATTTAGAGAACATATATAAAGATGATTTAAAATTTTTAGCCCAATTTAAAGAGTGCATGTATGGATACGAGGAAGAGTATGAGTTAGTTAATGCTTGGAAATTGTTGCTTGATGAGTATAATTCACACGATAACAGTTGGATGAATTCAACTTGGGCACTAAGAGAGAAATGGGCACATGTGTATATGAAGTGGATTTTCACAGTTGGTATGAGGAACACTCAACTAACCGAGAGCTTGAACTCAGTATTACGAAAGTACTTAAAGCCAGACCATGATATTGTTCACTTTTCTACTCATTTAGACAGGGTTTTAACTGATAAGAGATATAAGGAGATAGAGAAGGAACATCAAGCTAGGCAAAAGTTTCCTAGAATGAAGTTAAAAAGAGCTCCTATGTTGGTGCAATTAGCATAATGTTACACTCCTCCTATTTTTGATTTATTTCAAGATGAATATGATGTATTCCAGTGTGCTATTGCGAATCCTTGTAATGTGTTCGATGGATGTCATGAATTCTGTGGTGGAATTGTATGATGAAGAGAGAAAGTACATGGTGTTGATTAATGTCAATGATCAAAGAGTTTTATGTAGCTATTGATAATTTGAAATGATTGGGATATTATGTGGTCATGTACTTAAAGTGCTAGACACGATGAACATTAAGCAAATTCCTGACCAATACATAATACAGAGATGAAGGCGAGAAAGTGATCAAGTCATTATTCTAGTGCCACACTAAATGAGAAGGATCCCAAGTTGATGGTAGCATCACGTTACAGACAGCTATGTCCGAGAATGGTACGTTTGGCAGCTCGTTGTTCTAACCTTAAGCCTGCACACCAGTTGGTGAATTGTGGTATTGATGAGTTGTTCAAACAAGTGGATTTGATGTATGTATCACTTGGTACTGAGGAGGACAATGATGGTGATGAATGAGTAGAAAATGTTGACCCTAACATTCTACTGGTTGCTGGCTTGAAGAGGAAAGATGGTGGTTACAAGGGTTGGGGTCGATTGAAGCCTTGACATGAGAAATCAACGAAGAGAAAAACTGGAACTTCCTATAGGTCTAAGGTATTACAACCCCAACATTATGGTTATGCTATTTTGGATTCTTATTTTTTCTTAATTGTATCTTACATCTTTGAATGCTTGTTTTGAAGGTATCTTAATCGGATGAGCTAAATTCACATATGAANACACAGAGATGAAGGCGAGATGCTAGAAAGTGATCAAGTCCTTATTCTAGTGCCACACTAAATGAGAAGGATCCCAAGTTGATGGTAGCATCACGTTACAGACAACTATGTCCTAGAATGGTACGTTTGGCAGCTCGTTGTTCTAACCTTAAGCCTACACACCAGTTGGTGAATTATGGTATTGATGAGTTGTTCAAACAAGTGGATTTGATGTATGTATCACTTGGTACTGAGGAGGACAATGATGGTGATGAAGGAGTAGAAAATGTTGACCCTAACATTCTACCGGTTGCTGGCTTGAAGAGGAAAGATGGTGGTTACAAGGGTTGGGGTCGATTGAAGCCTTGACATGAGAAATCAACGAAGAGAAAAACTGGAACTTCCTATAGGTCTAAGGTATTACAACCCCAACATTATGGTTATGCAATTTTGGATTCTTATTTTTTCTTAATTGTATCTTACATCTTTGAATGCTTGTTTTGAAGGTATCTTAATCTGATGAGCTAAATTCACATATGAATGGATTTACTTACTCATGGGCATCAACTTATAGTCACTCAAATCCATTCTCTAGCATGTCTTCTCAAACATCAAATTCTCAAGCATCAATTGGTTCACAAAATGCTCGGGTAAATGTTGAACCATGCTTCTTGGACAACGTCGTTGATTATTCTAATGAGGAGAATCGAGGTGGACAATGAATAGTTGTTGTCTTTGGTGCTGATTTTTGCAATGATGTTGCTGCTGGTTGGTTCTGATCTTTTGGCTGAGTTGTTGGTTGCAAAGATGATTGTTATCTTGATCTAGACAATTTTATTTTGATCCTTTTGAAATGTGAAATGGGCACAATGTATTCTTTTGCTATGGGGATGATGGATCTTCTATTTTCTTGTTTTAGAAGATCTGTCATTCCTTTGGAAACACCTATGTACATGATCTCATTTTCGTTTTTTATGGAATTGATCTCACATGTGTATGATTCATGGTGTTCAATGTGTAGTTGTTATCTTGGACAAGTATCATGCGCAATGTTCAAACAACCAATACACATTCATTCATGTCCTGAACCATCTTCAACCAATACACCAAAGCACCATGTTCAACCAACCAATACACATTCACTCATGCCATGAACCATCTTCAACCAATACATGAAGAGAAATTTTATTCCATGAATTTAGGAGATTACAAGAACCAAAGAATGGAAAAATTACAAGAAACACAAGAAATGGCTTTAATAGTCTTGCAGCACTGGAATCCTCCTCTGATCCTGCAATAGTCTCCACCTAACAGACGCAGGCAACTGAAAACAAGCATGGCTTTACTCCGAAAAACCAGCATACATGAACAGAAACATGAACAATGACATAGCTTTTTGCTTCTTCTCTTCAAGTCCAGCAGCCTCATTCAACATGTCAGCAGCATCTTGGTGCATGGCTAACTTGGCAAAAGCAACTGACTGCATGTAGAAAGCTGTCAACCGGAACTTTATCACCAAATTTTCTTTCTTAAGCTCATTCCAACCATACCTCTCTCGCCTCTTCTNGGCTAACTTGGCAAAAGCAACTAACTGCATGTAGAAAGCTGTCAACCGGAACTTTATCACCAAATTTTCTTTCTTAAGCTCATTCCAACCATACCTCTCTCGCCTCTTCTCGACATCATAAGAGCTTAGACCCTTGTCTAGTTTCACCTTGTACCCTTTCAAACGCTGGTACAAAAATTGGCTTAAACCCATTTCAAATCCATGCAAAGGAATTCATGCACAAAAAAGAAACTTCGGCAAATAGTAGGCTGCATATTGAATTTACAATTCAAAATGACAAATAAAATTTAATACAGTGACTCAAAAATGTTCTCGTTCTCTTCTTGTAGCATATCAAGCTGCAATTCAAGCAGATGTCAACTTAATAAAGAATTCAAGGATTGTGTTCTAATATAAATTTTCCAAAATAGAAAACTTATTTACTCATTCAAAATTGAACAATTTGCATAAAGATCTGCAATGTGCTACAAAATAACATTTTTATTCTATTTTAGAAGTTAACCTTTAGCCTGATAAGGAGATGGTAATTGACAAGAGAAGTGCAGAAGCCTCATGCTGATTTCCTGTGTCTTTCGAGTCAGAANAGAAGTTAACCTTTAGCCTAATAAGGAGATGGTAATTGACAAGAGAACTGCAGAAGCCTCATGCTGATTTCCTGTATCTTTCGAGTCAAAATGTCCCATATATACTGTAAACCTACAATATTTCCAATGACACCAATGTATCCTCTAGTTTAACTCATTATCCCCTTCTTTCTGAGTTACAGATTGCAAGAGATGGATGCNTCTTCTTACAGAGTTACAGATAGCAAGAGATGGATGCTACATCAAAAAGAACTATAGATGGATGTAACTTCGTACATTCAATTTGTAATAAAAAAAAACATATTTATCACTGCTTAAAGCTAAGCCTGCACTCATAATAGATGAGATAAAAAAAATCAAAGAAAAAGAATGCCCAAGTAACGAGAAAATCAGATGATAACCATCCAGCCGGTAAATCAATACATCAACATAGCATACAGAACCATAGCATTTACACTGACCCCTTAATGAGAAAGAACCGTAATCACTCATTTAGGTTATATAATCAAATTTTGAGGAATGATTACTCGAAGTTAATCTCGAATTTCAAACTTAAATCGACGTTAGGGCTTTGATTTGGGGGATTGATTGCTCGAATATAATCGTGATCGCAGCGAGGAAGAAGAACGAAGCTGCACAGGTGGGGTTGGTTTGTCGATTTTGGAGGGAAGGAGCAATCTGTTTTTTGCNACGAAGCTGCACAGGTGGGGTTGGTTTGTCGATTTTGGAGGGAAGGAGCAATCTGTTTTTTGCGTTTTGCTCTGCACAGATGGAAGATGCTGGAAGACGACGGCGTTTTTGTGTAGTTGCTGGGTGTTGGAGTCTTGGCCAAANCTCTGCACAGATGGAAGACGCTGGAAGACGACGGCGTTTTTGTGTAGTTGCTGGGTGTTGGAGTCTTGGCCAAAACGTTACCGTTCCATTTAACAGCAAAATCTGCTGTTAGACCTTAACGGCAAAGGAGCCCTGCCCCTCCCCACACTCCCCCCCAACCCACATACCAAACAAACCCTTTAGGCAGTGGCCAAAATTCTAGGTAATTGGCGGGACACAACGCCACTGGTTCAATCTGAAGCCATTTACATATTAGAACATCTAATTAAGTGGGTCCCATCTCAATTCAACGGCAAAGATCTCTTCACCATCCGCCACTGTAGGTCGGATGCCCAGGGATAAAGATTTCTGTGTCCATTTTCAATTCTCTCTCTCTCTACTCTTCCCTTTTCACTCTCTTTTACAACTCTTTGTATCGCTCACTTCAACCAGATCAGACCCAAGTCAGTTCCATTCCATCCAAATGGTTAGCATGAATTCCTTTGACCAAATGTCATCAAATTTAATATTTTCTTGGCCTCTCTTGAATTTGATA